AGTCTGTCATCCCACCCTGCCACCATCTCAGGAACATGCAGGGAAAGAGAGCCCTTAAGGGGTCTATGGTTATTATTTGGCTAAAAGGCATCCTGTGTCCAAACATGCCCGTGAATGATGTCAGGAAGCCCCAGTGACAACGTACTCTCAAATATATTGCATCTATGTTCTACCTGTGGCATCCTCAAGTCCCCAATAAATGGTCCAGCCTGGAGCTCTGGTCTTGAAACCTCCTTCTGGTAGACTTCTCTCTCTTTAAGTAAGTCAACACATTTTCTGAGGACCTACTATGCATTGAGCATGTCCAGAGGATGTGGAGGTAGCTAAGCTGTGGCTCAACTTGCACTGAGCCCATTGTCCACACAAGGGTCACACCACAGCAAAGGGCTCTGCAAGCTTATGAACCTATCAGCTGTAAGCTGCCCCCAGATGGGGTATGTGTGAGTTCATTCCCACTGAGTCCTCCACAGGCTCTATGAAATAAATGGATGGTGATGATGATGGAGTGAGTGACTGAATATAGAGAAAGGCTCAAGCTGCTGGATGAGCCTGTCCCAGCATGTCCTCCTTTGCATGATGGGCTGAAAAATGAGGAAACATATAAGGCTTAGGAAACAGTGCTTGGTCCAAGTGTGATGGCAATGAATGTCTTCCTGAAGGAATAGGGCCACCAAGTGCTTTCTGTGACAGATTCCAGGCTGGCTCCTCTGAGAAAGGACTGACACAATTCTAAAATAGCCATGCTCTAGGTACCTAGCCCTGCCTCACCCCCACGCCACCCCACCCTGGTTTGAAGAAGGAAACCTTGACTGCAGTGGAGTTGAGAGGAGGGCTGTGGAACTTGGGTAAGGCTTCTGAGATGGTTTCTACCCATGACCCCTTTCACCTAAGAATTTTTTGTGTGTGACGGATGAGGGCGGGTCTAAAGGTACATAAAATAGCCAAATGTTTCCTGATAATTAATCATAAAAATTTAACACAATACTTCCAATGCACATAAATGTGAGTTTTTTATAAATAAAAGAAAATTTACACACTAATGGGGTGATGCTTGCCTATTTTTGTTGTTTATTTTTGTTTGTTTTTATGTCCCAATCAAAGTTTCCCCTCCCTCCCCTCTTTTCAGTTCCTCTCCCACTTCCTCTCCTCCCCCTACTCCCCATCCACTCCTCCACCACTGTTTCTCTTCAGATACAGGTCGGCCTTCCATGAATATCAGCCAGTCAAGGAATATCAAATTGTGTTTGTCTTTCTGTTTTGTTTTGTTTTTGAGACAGGGTTTCACTGTGTAACAGCCTTAGCTTCTGGAACTCACTTTGTAGAGCAGGCTGACTTTAAACTCAGAGATCCTCCTGCCTCTGCCTTCCAAGTGCCGGGATTAAAGGTGTGCCACACCACGGCTGTGGTGTTCCTGTCCACAGTAGCTGTGTCACGTCTATGAGATGGCGTTCTACAGCTCCTCCCCATCCTTGAACTCTCACGTTCTCTTCATCCCTCTTCCCTGATGCTTCCTGAGCCTTGAGTAGGGGTAGATAGAGATGTTCCATTTAGGGATGATCACTCAGTCATTCTTCTTAGTGTTTTGACCAGTTATCACCTGTATAAATTGTATATACTCCGCCCTGACATCTGCTCACACAGGGAGAAGCTTCTATGACTAGGGTTGAGTGCTCAGGTCTGTGGATATAAATATAAACATTTAGGCAGTTTGACTACAGTCCACTTAGCAAAACAATACTAGTAAGTTACCCCCTATCACCTTCCCAGCTGTGGGCTTTTGAACTTTCTTCTGTGGAGCAGACCTTGAATTCAGTTGGAGAGTAGTTGGTTATTCCACGACAGCCATGCCACTATTGCATCCGTGGACCCCTGACAGGTTGTGTTGTAGCATGAAGGGTCTACTGACAGTAATTACATTAATCACTTTCCCCTGCAGTGGCCTGATGGCATCTTTGACACACCAGCAGGTATAGATTTTCCCAGTGAGTTCCAACTTGATTTCTCTATTGCAACCAAACTTGCTCTGTAGTGGAGGATGACCTTGAATTTTGATCCTCCTGCCTCTACCTTTCCATCACTGGGATTACAGGTGTGCATTCCTGTTGTTGGTGCTATGGATCCAACTCAGGGCTCAGTGCTTGCAGGCAAGTGTGGGTCCCCCAAACCCCGATTGGCCTTTGTGCACCCATGGTCGCAGTATGCAGAGGAGCTGGAGAACAGGGTCTCGGGCAACCATGAGTATGGCAGGGTATGAATGACCTTTTTTGGAGGACAGCTCATTTATTGAAATGGTGGGGCTAGCTTAAATGGGGGGGAGGGGAGAAAAGAGGTCAAGGGAGGAAGGGTTACAGTGGGGACAGGGACTTTCCAGGCCTATCAGTCAGATTAGCAGACTGCCATTCACATGATTTCTGAGAAGCCAGTTCCCTGGGGAGGAACAGAATCTTGACTGACTTTATTGTGGTGTGCGTGGGCTTTGTCTCTGTAGAGTTGAGTAGACCCACGCCTGATTTGGGACAAGTAGGAAACAGCATGGACAGGGGACTGAGACACACAGTGTGTGTGTGTGGTGTGCATGTGCATGTTTGTGTATTATGTGTGTGTGATGTGCATGTGTGTGTTGTGGATTATGGGAGGGTGTATGTGGGATGTACATGTGAGTATGTGTACTATGTGGTCCCCCAGAAAACAGACTCCTGTCTCCTCTCTGGGGGGCTGGGAAGCCATACGGAAGCACTGTATCCATTAAACATGGGCCTTTTCTAATTCAGTTTGATTTGATCTGATTTGGATTGTTGCATCAGCAGAGAGGCTTATCGGGGTGCAGAAACTTTTCAGTGTGTATGTATACATATGTGTGTATGTGTACATGTGTGTGTTTGTATATTATGTGGTGTGTGTGTGTGTGTGTGTGTGTGTGTGTGTGTGTGTATCTGTGGCTGTCGAGAGGATGGAAACTGGATGAGAGAGGGAATCAGCTAGCTTGGCCTCAGCACATCTCCTCTCTTTCTTGACCTTGGATTGAAGGTCAAGACAGAGCCTGGTCTGCAGGAAGACATGCACTCTCGAGGATGTGAGCCCAGGACAGTGATGGGCCAGCAGTGGAGTTCTGAGAGACTCTTCTCCCACGTTGGGACCAGGATCCAAGGCACATCTCCTGAAGGACAGTAGGTGTGGGCAGCCAGCATCCATAGAAGTTCAGTCTTCTCAGCCAGCCTCTTGTCCTGCATTGTCCCTGCAGGACAGGAACTCAAACAGGGCAGGATCTTGGAGGAAGGAGTTGGTGCAGAGGCTATGGAGGGGAGGTGCTTACTAGCTTGCTCCCCATGGCTTATTCATCCTGCTTTCTTATAGAACCCAAGACCACCAGCCCAGGGATGGCCCCTCCCACAATGAGCTGAGTCCTCCCACATCAATCACTAATTAAGAAAGTGCCTTACAGTTGGATCTTATGGAGGCATTTTCTCAATTGAGGTTCCTTTCAGATAACTCTAGCTTGTGCCAAGTTGACATAGAACTAGTCAAGACAGTGCATGATGGATGCATGGATGGATGGATGGATGGATGGATGGATGGATGGACAACAGGTAGGTTGGCATGGGAGTATGTGGATGGGTGGATGAATGAATGAATGCTGGTCTCTTCCTGAAGTCCCTCTTTGCTTGCTTGCCCTACAGACACTGGGAAGGCTTCTGTCTGCTGTGCCCCAGGGCCTGGTGATTGCATCTGTGAACCTGGCATGGCCCCGTTCTGGCAGCGGGATGGCTGATGCATGCAAAGTGGGCACAGTCTTGCCCAGCCGCCTGACACACTGGCGCAGCCGAATCTGAAAGCTAATGACATTATTGTGTGGAGACACAATGTCTATGGGCATTTGCTGACCCAGGCTTTGGTGTAGGCTTAGCCTGCATTCTCACCCTGCTTTCCGCAGGGATGCAGCAGTCACCCATCTTGGCACCAGCTCCCCTGGGGAAGGTATAAATACCACCTCCCACCAGCTGGGCTTCACGGCACTCACCGGGGCTGGTGATCTGGTAAGGAGGCTTCTGCTGCTTGCTCAGCTCTTTGCTTTTCTTTCCTTCTTGCTGGAAAGCATGGCACAGAGACCAGTACCTGGCCTCAGTTTTCCCTTCTGTTAAGTGGGGAGAGGGGCAGTCTAAGCCCCTCTGCCATGGGTTAGGAAACAACACAATAGACTGACCTGGTGCACAGCCAGCACCTGGAAAAGGCCCCTCCTTTCTTCTGCTGGAGACCGGGAAGGAAGATGTGTCTGGCTCAGGAACCAGAAGTGGCCCGACCTTGACTGTGTCTAGATTTTGGAGCCAGCTTTCTCCTGACTAGTCATTGTGGCTCCGCTGAGCCAGCCTTGGGGGAAACTTGTGAGCTGAACTCAGCTGCACCTGTTTCTGGGCACTGTGACTTTAGTGTCACTAAATCCCACTGGAAATGGCCCTAACTATGTCACCCTGACTGTCCCTTCCTGGGTGCCAAGTGTATTACGGGGCCCTGTCAGATGTACACAGTTGTATGGAGTCCTAGTTCACACAGAGAGAGTGAGGCACCTCTGTTGGTTTCCTGGTGTACAGAGTAGGAAACTGAGGCGCAGAGAGAGGGCAGGACTTATGGGCGCCTGTTCAGCTCCTTGGTGGCAGAGCAAGCACTTGGAATGGATCAGCTGAGTTAAACACCTAAAGGTAGAAAATTTGTTGAACTGCAAGAGGGTGCGGGGAAACCTTCCAACATGATTCCATAGCTCAGGAGTCCAGCAACAGGGAGAGGAGCAGTAGGAGAGGAGCTGAGGGGAGAAGGGGGATTCTTCCACTTAGATCAGGGCTGGATCATAGTGTAGGGGAAGACAGAGCCCAGGTGGCTGCTTCTGGAACAATCTAAAAACCCTGTCAAAAGAGAAGAGGGTTGGGGTTGGCTCAGGGCTCCTACGGCAGCGTCCTCATGCAGCTTCCTCATTTCTTCCAGGTCACCTTGACACCAGAGAGTCCACCATGGCCTCAGACCACCAGACACAGGCGGGCAAGCCCCAGCCCCTCAATCCCAAGGTGGGTATCCTGCTGGAGGGAAGGGCAGGCAACATCTACATGCCCAGTCAACTTCTTCCTTCCTGGTGCTCGTTCTCAGCCCTGTCCCTCGGGGGACTCAGTCTCCCCCAGCTGCACACCTGGGGCCAATTCCCTGTGCCCTTCCCCACCCACCTGAGTGCCCGGCATCAGCTTCAGATTTTAGAGAATTAAATGTCTCTGCTTGTCTGCCGCCCCACATGCTATCACCCACGGGACTCCCAAAGACCTGGCAGAGACTCAGTGCCAACTGAAGAGGATTTCCAGGCCCCCTCCTGCTGTGTGGCCCAGGCCAGTGGCTTAACATCTCTGAACATCAGCCTATACAATAGGGAGCATCAATTACACATAGAACAATTGTGCAGGCCCAGAAACCAGACTCAGCGTCTTACCAGAGAGCTATGTGTCCTCGCTGCCCATGCCAGCTCAGACCGTCTGCTTCACTTTCTGACTCTCACACTCCAGAGGCAGCTTATTCCAGCCTCTCCGAGGCTGGTCACACCCTATCTGGCCCAGCTAAACCTCCTCATTCCATTTCCTTGAGTGAGTGACAGTCAGCAAACTGTCTTGAGGTGGCCTGTAGCCTGAAGGAGTGAAAAGCATTTAACACTAAGTAGTTTAAGGGATCCCCAGAGCTGGAGTTCACAGCAAATAGTGGGTCAGCTTGGTGCTTTAGGGGGGACCTCCATGAGGAGGTGACTGGGGTCAAGTGAGGGAGCAGCCATGTAAAAATAGGGGGCTCGGAATGGTGAGGCCACTGGGGTAGTGGGAACAGCACAAGCAAAGGACCCGAGGTTGCCAACAAGTTGGATGAGTTTGAAGAAAAATGAGACCACCGGGTGCAGGGCACACAGCATTTCAGTACTGTGATGTCACACACACACACACACACACACACACACACACACACACACACTGTGATGTCACACACACGGTGACATCACATACATACACAGTGATGTCACACGTTTTATGACATCACAGATGTACAGAGATGTCTCATATATACTACAAATCACACGGGTAACTTAAGATCTTCCAATGGTCACAGTGAAAGTTATAAAAGGCAACGGGTGATTAATTTCCATAGTCTCCTTTGTTAAACAGTTCATTCCCACTCTGCCTGTCTTCAAATCTGTGTTTCCTATGAACAGCACACAGTTAGCGCTGACTGCATGCTCAGGGCCGTGCAGCTAGTGGCTTCTGCACTGGGTAGTGTGTGGTTACAGGGTTGGTCAATAGGAAAGAATCTAGACTCTGTTACTATTATTGCTGTTGTTGTTGTTGTTGTTGTTGTTGTTGTTGTTATTGTCTTCTCTACACCAGCAGCAGGGTTCAGCACTCCTGGGACCCAGGGCTTCTCAAGTGTACGGAGAACCTGACCCTTCCCTACTGGCCCTTATATTCCAGGCTAGGTAATGGCCACTGAGCCCCCTACCCTACCCCGACTTCTAGAGCCTTCTCAATGCCCCTGCAAACAGGTTTACTGGACTGCCCTTCTGGAAAGCACAGTTCCTCCTTGGGCTACACAGAGCAGGGGAACCAGAGCCCATGTCTCCTGCTTCTGTGCCTGGAGGGGTCAGTGACCATGAAGGCTGAACTGATCCCATGGAATCTGCCCCTGAGCCCTCCTGGCCACTGCTTTTACTTCTTTTATCTCACTAATCCCCAGCCTGGGAAACAGAAGTGCTTTCTCTAGCTAGTGCTGACTTAGGGACCCTGTACGTATCCCTCCTGTCTACTTCTTCATCCAGAGGTGGCTGCAGGCTCCCGTCTTTGGGGCTGAGTGGCTAGAAAGGTTCCCTGTTCCAGGTGTGGTTGTAAATGTGTTTAGCTCATGGCTGTGAGGCCTTGAGTGGGTCTCTTCACTCTGCAGAGTCCCAGGATCCTTGTTGGGATTCCACCGGACCCCTGCCTAGGCCAGATGAGGAGACAGGACAAGGCACAGAGTGGGGGGATTTCTAGTAAGATCCATCTCACTTGGGTGGCCATAGGGAGACCTGGAGACCTCCAGGGGTAGAGGCTTGAGGAAAAGGGCCCAGGAATGTGTGTGTTTCCGGGAGACAGCTGGTGTGTGGTGTCTGTAGAGGGGTATCTCACACCTCCTGATTGCCACCTCCTGGGAGCCAAGTGGCATCTGGAATATGGGGTGCGGCACCACAGAAGCAGTGCCATGAGACTACCTTTTGTCAAGATCCCAGGTTTGGTGTGCATGTTCAGTTTGCAAGCTGCCCTCTAGTTTCTGCTATATCACACAAGTCCAGGCCATGTACCTAGCTTTGATCTGTAGCAGATGCACTATGGGTAGCTGGGGTATTGCTTAGAGGGAGTGTGGCTGCTGGATGTGTAGAGTTCTATCTGGCCCTGGTTCTGTCTCTAGAACTCCACAGACATAAAGGAGTCTCTCACGCCTGAGCTGAACCTTCTGCCTGCCATCTTGACAGCTTCCCTGCCCCTGGCTGGTTCTGTCACCCATTTCACTGGCAGGGAAACTGAGGCTCAGAAAGCAGCACCTTCAGGCTCCAAGTCTCCAGCCCTCAGGTCTGCAATCCTGGGGCTCTCTGAGCTACCTGTTCACCCCCTGCTCTTCCCACGGTCCGACTCTATCCCATTCCTTCCAGATCATCATCTTTGAACAGGAGAACTTCCAGGGCCACTCTCATGAGCTCAGCGGACCCTGCCCCAACCTGAAGGAGACTGGCATGGAGAAGGCAGGTTCTGTCCTGGTGCAGGCTGGACCGTGAGTATCTGGGTGGTCTCACCTAGCCAGGGACTGTCAGCCTGGTAATTGAGATGTTGAATTGGGGATATCTAACCTTTCTGTGTTCCTAGGTTGTGTGTGATAGAGGCAGGATTTGGGGTTTGGCAGCCCAGAGGGAGTTTGTGCTTAGGAGGCTGGGTTCAAATCCTGGTTAAGGGGACTTGCAGGCTATGTGGTATTTGACCATTAACTTCCCTCTCTGATACTTGGTTTCCTTTTCGTAGCCAATACCTTTGCTGTCATCCTTCAGGTCCTGTCTCTACTCAAGAGAAAAGGGATGTAATTATGGAGGCTGCCTCTCCCCTCACCAAGCAATGAGTTGCATGAGGGCCATTGTGTCACTCATCTCCCTCAGTCCTCCTTTGTAAATGTCTTATGAGTTTGGGGACACAGTGACCCCAAGAAGTCGGTATACATCTGGTGGTTCAGGAGCCTGTACCAGTCAGGGCCTGAGTGTGACAACATACTTATGTCTGAGTCTAACAGACTTGCACAATTACAGTTATTAGCATGTACAGGGGACTAGGCTCTGCCTCTGTAGAACATGGGTCTTCACCCTTTGAATACTTCTGACCTCATCTACTTTTGCTATTTTGATGGGAGAATTTCCCAAATATTTTAAATATTGGAAATAAGCCTTTGTGTGTTTGATTTGTTGTGTGTGTTGGGACGGGGGTTACTGAGGGTGAAACCCATTGATTCGCCTTTGCAAGGCAATCCCCGATCACTGAGCTATGCCACACCCTTCAAAACTGTTTTGTAAGCTGGGACTTGGTGGTGCACGCCTTTAATCCCAGCACTCAGGAGGCAGAGGCAGGAGGAGTTCGAGGCCAGCCTGGTCTCCAGAACAAGTGCCAGGATAGGCTCCAAAGCTACACAGAGAAACTCTGTCTCAAAAAAACCAAAAAAAAAAAAAAAAAGAAAAGAAAAAAGAGAGAACTGTTTTAATTTACATTAACACTCTTTCTCAGAATATGTCTTGAGTTTTAAAACTAACTTTAAAAATTGTTTTCTGGGTCTTTTGTTTTGTTGAGGGTCTCACTACTTAGCCCAGGTGGGTTTTGAACTCCCTGGTGTTGGAATTCTAGGGAAAAAATAGTTTTTGCATATCGGTTAAAATATGTGTTCAATATTAAGAAGGAATAACTTAGCAAAGAGTTGTGTCCCCTGCCCCCAATTTTGACTTTAGCTTACACTTTAGAAATATTCATCATTAAGATTTTTATATAAGTGTAGATTTTTCCCTGTGCATGCATTTGTGGTTTTTTAAGAAACATGATATTTGAATGATATTGTACAGTGTTTTGTCAAATGTTAGGAGGCACCACAATGTTCTCCATGTTGTAAGTCACACTTCACATTGGCATCTTTCAGAGCAATTTGAGGTCCCTAAGTATCAAAACTACAGAAGGGAGACTCTGAAGATCCAGGTCCCCACTTCAGACTCCTGGTCTTAGAGTTCAGGAAACTATCTCAAGCCAGATCTCCTGGTCGTACTTATGTCCAGTCGAGTTTGTGAACCCGTGTATCGTCTGTCGTTATGTATGGTGGCTTGGTACACGTTCCCTAGTTTATCTGCCCTCTCGGCTGTTGGGTGTTGTAAACACTGCTATGATGGACAGTTTTTTTTTTTTTCAGCCCTGCCTGGGCTCTGACTGTTGTTCTCAAGAACACAGTACGTAAAGCTGGCTTGCAGGATCTCCTGTAAGTCGTCCTTTGAGTGCACGTGAGTGACAGATGCAGTTGCCTCTATCACCGATGACTTAGATCTGAACAGCCACCATTGTCACGCAGGGAGGGAGTGTCTCTGCCCTGGAGAGCCCCAGAAACTTGGCATTTGAGGCTCCCACTTCCTCTTGCCTACTTCTCCTTCGTCTATGGGCCACGCCCTCCTAAGAGAGTGCTGTGGATTACAGTCAACCCTGTCACATCTACAAGTGTCACTTCCCTGGATTCAAACAATGAGCAGCAGAGAGTATCTGGGGGAGATTGCATCTGCTCTAAGCAAGCACACACTCCTTTTCTCTCTTCTGTTCCCTAAAGTGGGATACAATAGTCGCTTTCATAGTTCCTGCAAGGCATCTGCCGGTGATTTATGGTTCACAGGATGCTGTTGCCATTGTAGATTCCAGCCCAGTTTCTTACCAGCACAGAGCAACCACTGGCCATCTCTCTACCATCAATCTAGGAGTTAGAGTGTTGTGTAAAGGCAAGTAGAAAGACAATGGGAGAATTGAGTCTGGAACCTGCTGTGGACGAAGCTATGACCTGCATGATCTTGAGTCCCAGAGCTGTGCTCAGTGGTCAGCTAATGGACCTCTCCTCTCTCTAGGCCTGGCTGAGGTCACCCTGTCCGCTTACAGTCTCCAGGCCGAGGCATGCACACTGTGGCCAGCAGCACTAGATAAATAGGATCCTGGGGCTCTTGTTCTGCATTCAGAACTGTTTATTATTTTCCCAGCATCCTCTTGGTTAGGACTGTCCTCTCTCTTTGGCCAAGCTGTCCTTCAGATTACATGTTTAGTTTGCCTATGTGCTGCAGGAGGTCAAGGGCAGTGGGGCCTGGGTTCTGGATAACTAAAGTCACCTTGTACTAGCTTATCTATATTTAGGTTTAGATGGGACCAGTGTAGCGGGGTTGAGTGCCAGGGTCATGCTGGATGCAGGATGCCTGGCAAGGGACCCACTAACCCTTTTTGTGTCTTACAGTTGGGTGGGCTATGAACAGGCCAATTGCAAGGGCGAGCAGTTTGTGTTTGAAAAGGGCGAATACCCACGCTGGGACTCCTGGACCAGCAGCCGGAGGACAGACTCCCTGAGCTCTCTGAGGCCCATCAAAGTGGTAAGACCTTCCCACCTTTTCCTGCACTGGAGCCAGAGGGTCAGGGCCTGGGAGGCTCCCCACCCACACTGTGCTCTGGCCAAGGACCTCCATTGTGGGGTGTGACCAAAGACATTTGGCCTCCTTGAGCTTCTGTTTGATCTTCTGCAATTGAGACTTTAGTTCTTGCTGGCAGATACTCCCTTGTTCCTAGCCCAACTCCAGGGGATGCCATTCCCTGAACAACTATGTTGTCCTGTGGGCCCTGTCCCTTAGGGCCCAGGCTCAGTTAGCAACTATGGGCATTCAAGAAATCCAGGGGGTGTGGGGGAGGGGGAGGTGCTTTAGTCAAGACTCAATGTGAGCTTCTGGTCTATTTCTGAATCTGATTCTCACTACCATGAGAACTGTTGGGCAGGGAATGCTCCAAGAGGTGCCTAAACCTTCCAAAGCCTGACTTGTACCTCTCAGAGCTCTGTATGAGACTGGATCTCTACAAGATCTGAGCAAGTCTTGTGTTGACTCTGCTCCTCTCAGCTGAGTGACCCTGGGTGAGTCACTTGACCTCTCTGAACCTTAGTTTTCTCAGGTGTCATATGGTCCAAGAACTGCTGAAAGGACAGAATAGTAACTGAGAAAAACTTCACTGGGACAGTCGATCTGGAGACTGTGGGAGACCCTGCAACTGCTGGGACCGCCAGAAGCCTGATGCTGCCTGTGTGCATCAGCTGCTGTATCACAGCTGCTGTTTATAAAACAGGAAATTGAGATCCAGGGAGGGGACCTGGAGTCCCTGGACCAAATGCTCCCTGAGTGCAGGATCTGAGGTTGCCTGTCCCATTCCAGTCACTCCATAGGCATCCAGTCACCAGCCAGGGTGATTGTCTCACCTCCCACTGTGAGGTGAGGTATTGGGCTTCACCTACATCTTCCACTCACAGGACAGCCAAGAGCACAAGATCATCCTGTATGAGAACCCCAATTTTACCGGTAAGAAGATGGAGATTGTAGATGATGATGTCCCCAGCTTCCACGCCCATGGGTACCAGGAGAAGGTGTCTTCCGTGCGGGTGCAGAGCGGCACGTGAGTGTGGCCCCAGACCTCAGCATCCATGACTCTGAGTCCTTTTGTGTTCTGAGCTCATTGGGTTTGGGGGAGGGGCTCTGCTTTGCCCTCTGCCACCCACAGATCATCTGGTGGGACGTTCCATCATTGGCTGTGCCCCCTGCATCCCCCAGTGTCTACCTGGGCAGGTGGAGGCAGCAGGTGCCACAAATGGAATAATCTTAGCTCAGAGGGAGGAAACGGAGCATCTGCCCCTGCAGTCCCCTGAGCCTGAGCCTGGAATTCCTCCTTGAGGAATTCCACTTTGACATGTCACCTTAGTCTCCAGCCTGGGGAATTCTCATTGTGAGCCATGGCACTCTTGAGGTCCTAGGGGTGGAGAGTAGCTTCCTGGCCTTTCCTCCTCCTCCTGGTGTCAGGAAACCCCCACCTACCTCTCCTTTCAGCTCACATGCCCCCCCACCTCTGCCTGCAGGTGGGTTGGGTACCAGTACCCCGGCTACCGTGGGCTGCAGTACCTGCTGGAGAAGGGGGATTACAAGGACAACAGCGACTTTGGGGCCCCTCACCCCCAAGTGCAGTCTGTGCGTCGCATCCGTGACATGCAGTGGCACCAGAGAGGTGCCTTCCACCCCTCCAGCTAGAGCCCCAACCTCCCGCTCCCCAGGGGCCAGGCCTACTACCCCGGGGCCTCCTGACACCAGAGTGAATAAAGTGTGGCTTGCAACATGTCTGCTGTGGATCTTTTATCTATGGTGTGCCTGGGGCACATGTGTGTGCATGTGTACGTGTGTGTGTGTGCAAGAGGGGGGAGAGGGAGAGGGGCAGTTAGCAGGCATCTGGGCTGCGGTTTGCAATAAGGCTCCATGGAATCCTACATCTCCACCACTCCACAGCTGTGTGACCTTGAACACACTGGTGATCTCTCTGAGCCTCTATCTGATTTACCACTCCACTGCTTTGCACGTGGCCAGTATGGTTGACCTTCTGGGCCTTACACAACATGATCCTGAACAGTTATTCTCAGGGTGGGTGACAGGTTCCTGGTCCACTTACTGTCACTCTTACTGCTCCGTCATCACTATAGAGCAGGGCAGTGGCCTTTTGGTTTGTTTTGTATCTCCCGGAGGATTCAAGTCCCTGCTGTGTCTACCATATCTCGGGAGAAGCCTTAGCCACATGTCTGCTGGTGTTCAGGTTCACTGTTTTCCACTCTGTCATTGGGTTGGTTTGGTCTCTTGTGTGGCCTTTGAGAGCACAGCTAGGAGATCACAACCCAGGAGGAGGGAGGCTGTGAAGACCTCATTCACAGGCCTCACCCCAGGTGACCTCTGAGAGCTATCCTGTTCCCATGAGGAATAAGCAGGGATGGAAAAAACAGGCCGGTGCAGGCGGGGCGGCCTTCTATTCAAGGTGGATGCTGGGTCTCTCTTCACCTCTCTTCTGGTAGCTCTGAATATCATTTTAAAATGTAGCAAACTCAGATCTCAAGCTCCCCAACCCCCATGGTTTTCACCATCTTTAAAAGGCTCTTTCTAACCCCAGGACACAAATCCAGTCTCCAATACCCACGGATGTTTGAGAGCTTTGCTCTTAGTGTTCACATTCTTTCTTTTTCTGCAGGCAATTTCCGTGCCTTGAATGCAGTAAGACCCAGCTTCTCCTTTGATTTTTTTCCCCTCCAGGCAGCTGCTGGCCTGCTGGGCACTAAAGAACTCCACAAGGGGACTGTTCATGGGCTGTCCGCTCAGTCCCTGTCATTTCCTGTGTGTTCTGACCCTGCTTTGTAGGTGGGGTGACAGCTCCCAAGGCTTTAGTCCACAGGGACAGTCGGATACTCTTGCTCATTTAAACACGCTTTAGAAGCACCCCCTCCAACATGAAAAAATGGGGAACCATAGAGACCATCAGTCTGTGATCTGCTGTAACAAAATACTGGAGACTAGCTAGCTACTCATGAAGTGAGAGGTTGGTTCCACAGGCTGGAAGTTCGAGACCAGGCAGCCACCCCTGGACACAGGGGTCCCTTTGGAAGGGTGACAGGGTTGAGCAATGGAAGGAAACCAATGTGTGCAGAAGGGAAGGAGCTCACTCTGGCAAGGATGTCCTTCACCCCACCAGATGAGATTCATGACGTCCAAGGATGGAGTTCCAATGTCTTTAGCACCCTATCATAAACCCTGTTTCTTTTTTTAAAAAATTAAAAATGTTTTCAGACTTATTTATTTTACTTTGTACGTATGAGTGTTTTGTCTGCTGGGGACAAGATCCTTGCAACCTGCAGGAGGAGTAGACCTGCACTAAGCATCTAAGACTGGCACTTCAGTCTTAGATGCTCAGCCTCTGAAACAGGAACACCACCTGCCTAGCTCCCTGTCCCAGAAAACTCACATGGTGGTGGCAAGGGAAAGGAGACATCCCTGGGCCAGGTGAGGGCTTCCTGAGAGGCGAAGTGTTTAAAGAGATGTGGAATTTTCCAGGTGAAATCGAGAGGCAGATTCTGCAAAGGGAACAGATGTGTGAAGTTGAGTCATGCCCACTCCAGTACACGGGAAGCTGGCCTGGCTGAGCAGGTCCTGAGAGATGAGGGATGCCTTCGTTGACTGTGATACGTGGGTGTGTAGGAGGTGTGGGTGGTTCTAGAGAAAGCACAGCTACTCATCACTGAATGCTCAGCCTCTCACAGGGTAAGTGGTAAAATCTGAGCAGTCATTTCTTTTGCTTGAAGATCTGTAATTTTGGGAGCATCTAGTGGGTCTGCTAATCTCAGATGGGTGTCAAGGGTGGCTCTCAGCCAGGAAGGGCTCACACAGTTGAATGCAGCTGTCCTCTTGGACACCCCCATTGGGTGCTTCTTGGGGTGCTGGCTTCCCCACCAAAAGGTGATGGGTTTCCAGGAACTGGTGCTGCAGGAGGAAGAAGTAGCTGACTGACATCTTTGTGACTGGCTCCTCATGCTAGAGGTGGCTGGGTCATGTAGGGTTTGCCCGGGTTTGGGAGGAAGGGACACAGACCCCACCAGCCAATAGGCCATCTGGTGGTGGTCATTTTCAGAAGACACAATCTTCCATCGAGGCACTGGGGGTGTAGGGAGTGGGCTTCCATGGGGCAGGGCGGGAACCTGGTGTGTGAACTCCAGCAGAACACAGGCTTTCCTGCATCTGGATTGAGGACCTGGTGGCTGATCCGAGTCCCCGTCCTCCTTTTGTCTGTCATAGTAGGATGTGATCTGTCCACTACCCTTGCCTTCCCCATTTCCACTCCCACCTGTCCTGGAAGCCCACCTGGCCCTCTTCTGGTCTCCAAGGTCCCACAGCTCCCTTTTCCAGCCCCTCCGGGCGCCATTTCCCCTTCTGACCACCAGGTGTCAGGAAAACGCCATCCTCAGAGCTCTGTCAGTCACCGAGGTGGGCGGAGCTTAATTTCTTGGGTCCCACGCGGGAGCGCGCTCGGGACACTCACGGATTCTGGAAACACAGGGCGCCAGCAGGGAAAGATCAGCATTTTTCTTATGCTTCCAAACCCTGGAACAAAAACTAGAACACAAACCACCGCGGAGACAAAATGCAAAATGTTTTATTCTTGGCTTCCATGCGGCGGGCCAGATAGTTCGGGGTCGCTCGGCTTCTTCTGGGTGTCTGCGCTGGCCGCCTCGCGTGGGCACCCACGAGCCTTTCTAGAAAAGAGCTGGGTGGGCGGCGTCTTCCGCAGGAACAGCCCTGCGCATGTGTAAACCACAGCGCCCACCCGCTTCCACGAAACTTCAAGAATTTAACATTTTAATATCATTCTCGCTTATACCAAAAATGACTCTTCCTTTGGTTTCTTCCCCTCCTCCAAACGTTTAAAATATAAAAACATTGTTCAAAGGAAGTTGATGTGTGGCCTGGGAACGCACTCCCATTACCCCAAACACTGCGTTCCCACATGGCCAGTGTTTCACAAAGTTTTGTAGTCACAGAACAAAAGAAAGCCACAAATCAAGGCATTTTTCAAATATTGGTGGTGACATCTGGGACGTGGGTTACGGCAAAGCCGTGATATCATAGCTGCATCTCAGATGTTGTCTCTCAGCTTTCTCTGCCTGTTGGTTGGGGGACAGTAGGGGTGTGTTCACACATTTCCAAGGAATTACCTAAGGGACACAAAAGCTGCCAGGTCAGGCACAGAGAAAGGCAATACATGGCTATCGAGGGACTAAATGTGCCCCAAGACAGTTTGACTTTGCATTTGCAACATTCTCACGTGTCCACATCGCTGCATTTTTGGTCAGTCAACCAGCCTTATAGGGTTTCTGTTGCTGTGATAAACACCATGACCAAACTTGGGGGTGACAGGGTTTATTTGGCTTAGGCTTCCACATTGTAGTCCTTCACTAAAGGAAGTCAGGGCAGGAACCTGGAGGCAGGAGTTGATGCAGAGGCCATGGAGGGGTGCTGCTTACTGGCTTGTTTCTCATGGCTTGCTCAGCCTGCTTTCTTACTGAACTCAGGACCACCACCCCAAGGATGACACCACCCACAATGGGCTGGGCCCTCCCCTATCAATCACTAATTAAGAAAATGCCCTACAGCTGAATCTTATGGAGGCATTTTCTTAATTGAGGCTCCCTCCTCTCAGATGACTTTAGTTTGTGTCAAGTTGACATAAAACCAACCAGTGCACAGACATGGCTTCTTTCCAGAAATTCTCCTTCACAACATGGACCATGGACAGCCTCAGGTGCTACAGGTCTCAGGTGATATCTGGTGACATTCTTAGTTCTGGGTTGGCTAGAGGTTTGTTAACATCTTCCAAAATGTTTTCCTTGGGAGTCAGAAGTTCAGAAGAATTGAACTCCGTTCCATCACTCAGCCATCTTCTCAGCCCTTCAATTCCCCCTCCTCCAGACTCTGAGCAGGTGTTTTCTATTTATCCTTGTTAACCCTAGCTCGCCCACTCTCACTAGACCCCCAAGAGTTCATCAGCCCCTCACCTCCCTTCCTCTGCAACTGTGTTGGTGTACAGTGGGTTCCCCACTGGACTGTGAACTTCACCTGGGCAGCCCAGGTCAGCTCATTCCAGGGTCCCCAACAAGTCACACAGTCCCTGATACAGAGCAGGTGTGTGCCAGCTGCTAGCTAGGCAAAGGTGTGAAGATGGACCTCCCTGCCTCCTGGGCGGAGCTCTCCAGACTTCTAGTGCTGCTGGCATTCTCAGTAGGAAGGTGTACCACTGAGGGTTCATGTGGGGTGTGCCTTCACTCACACCCCAGGGATAGCACTCTGCCCTGACTGGATGGGATCCTAGGACTCTGCTGAGTTTTCTCTCTCAGTTCCTCTCCATATGGCCCAGAGACAGCCTCACAAGGAGCTGATGGCTTTTGTGGGAAGTTGGCTCCACTGAGCAGCAGCCTTTCTGCTCTTGCCACACCCACAGGCTCCCAGCAAGGCACTGAAGAAGCCTTCAGAGCTCTCTCACAGATGTGGATGCCTCACGCCTGACATGGGAGCCACAGAGTTAGTTAGATCTGGACACTATTTCATTTTCCCAGCTGCCTGTGGCTGCTTTGCAGTGTCCACCCTACAGGTGTCTCTGAAGGGGAGCAGGATACTGAGTGAAGGGGATGGATAGTGGGAATCAAAGCCTTTCAGGAGTTCTTGTC